CCGCGTACGGGTCACCCACACCCACGCCCACGCCCCCCGCGGCCGCCGCCATCATGTCCGCCTGCTGGACGTAATACGCCGCGTACGGGTCGCCCGCGGCGGCGGCGGCGCGCGCGGCGGCGGGGTCCGCCGCGGCCACCTGCGCCGCCGCCGCCCACCGCGCGGCGTCCTGCTGCGCGTCCCACCCTCCGTACGACGCGGCGTACGCGGCGTAGGGGTCGGCGCCCGGCGCGACGGCGGGGTATCCGCCGTACGCGGCGGCCGCGGGGTAGCCGGGGTGCTGCGCGTAGCCCACCGGCGCGCCGACGCCAGCTTGCGGCGCCCCGGTCGCGCCGGCCCCGATCGCGCCCCCCATCCCGGGGCGGTTCTGCTGCCCCGCGATCCGCACGACCATCTGCTTCCCCTCGAAGAACACGCCGTTGAGGTGCGCGATCGCCGCCTGCGCCTGCGCGGCGTCCATCATCTGCGCGAACCCGAACCCGCGCGACTTCCCCGTCTCCCGGTCCACGATGACCTTCGCGTCGACGACGAGCCCGTACTGCGACAGCATCGCGCGCAGCTCGTCCGCGCCGTACGAGAACGGCATGTACGCGACGTAGAGCTTCGCGTCGTTGTTTTCGGGCGTCTCCGGGGGTTTCGCGCGCTGTTCCGGGGGAGGGCGCGGATCGGATTTGACCCGGCACTCGATCGTGCGGCCGTCGTGGTAGTACGAGTTCATCTCCGCCGCTGCGGCGCGCGCCGCCTCCTCGGCGGAGAACGTGACGAACGCGAACCCCTTGCAGTTGATCTCTCGCTCGCGGTCGGGGATGACGTCCACCTGCGTGATGTCCCCGAACTTCCCGAACAGCTTCACCATCTCTTCCGTGGTCGTGTTCGGGCCGAGATGCCCGACGTAACACTTCCTTCGATCCACCTCGTTAACGCTCCCGCCGCGCCCGTCGCCGCCCGCGAAACCCAGCCCGGCTCTCGCGCCCGGGACGCCCCCAGCCCCCGGCGCCCCCGCCCCCGTGTTCGCCACCCCGAGCTCCGCGAGGAAGTCCCCGTACGCGTTGTCCATCGCCCCGCCCGCGCCGGCGCCGTGCACCTTGTCCACGTCCTTTTGGTACTGCGCGGATGCTCTCGCGGCGACGTCCGCGGGGAGCGCGTACAAACCGGCGTCCTCCTCGTCCCGCTTCGCGCGCATGTCGAGAAAGTTGTCGTCGCGCAGCGTCCCGTTCAGGAGCGCGAGCTCCCTGAGCTGGATGCGCTTGTGATCGTTCACGTCCTCGTCCACGGGCACGATCAGCTTCTCGATCATCGCCGCGGCGGCGTCGACGTCTTTTTGCGTGGTGCCCTCCACGTACACGTGCATGGGCTCGTCCTGAGGGTCGAGGGGAGGGTTTAGGACGTCGGGGTGGAGTTCAGGGGCGCGTCAGACGGCGTCGTGAGGCGTCGCGGCGCGTCGTAATCGAATGAAGCGAGGGGCGGGCGGAGATAAACACGACGAACGCGCGACGGGCGAAGTCCTCGAGTCCGACGCGGTCGCCAGCTGGCGCCGGCGTAAAAAAAATCGCACGCGCCTCGCCCGGTTGCAAGCCGCCGCCGGTGGGCCCTCGCGCGGCGCCCTCCTTCACGCTGCCCTTGCCCCGTATCGCGATCTTCGTGTTCGTCTCCGCCTGCATGCGCTTCTGCGTGTTCCCTCTCGGGCCGATGATCAGGCCGAAGAAGTTGTACCCCGGGTGCTTCGCCACCGGGATGAAGATCTTTCGGCTCTTCTTCGCGGGCCTGTAATCCGGCGGCGGGACGAACCCCGGGCAGCACTCGACGAGCTGCTCCACGAGCTCCATCCGTCGCGTGTGGTACTTCTCCTTGTCCAACACCTCGCGCGTGTTCTGGCGCACGCCGTTCGCGTCGTAGATGGGCTCCGGGGAGGGAGATCGCGACCGCTCGCTGCGCTCGTCGAACGGCAGGTGCGCGAGCATCCGGCGGTTGATGCGCGCGAGCTCGGCGAACTTGGACTTGATCTCCTCGGTCGCGTCCGCGGGCGCGGCGTCCTCGCCGATCATCGTCGCGGGGAGGCGGACGGCGAGGCCGCCGGGGAGGACGAGTGCGCCGCCGATGCCGTCGGACGACGCGACCGCGGTGACGCGCCCGGCCGCGGCGGCGTCCTCCGCGGGCTCCCAGCGCGAGCGACGGCGTTTCGGCTTATTGGACGCGTCCGCGTCGTCCGTCGTCGTCGTCGTCGCGACGAGCGCGGTGGACGCGGCGCCGCCGCCGGGCGGCGCCGGCGGGGGCGGGACCGCGGAGAGTTTAGGGCCCCATCGGTTCCCTCGCGCGGCGCGGCGCTCCGCGGAGGTCGCCATGTCGTCCGCGATCTGCGGTCTGATCGCGGAGCGACGCGACGCGCGGATCGAGCTCGATCGATGCGGACGCGACGAAGCGAAGAGAGCGCGCGAAAAGTCGGAGAGGTTGTCATCAGTTTGAACCGCGCGTCGGCTCACGCCCAGAGTGGAGTGGAGAGATGTACGGCGCCGCGGACGCGCCGCGACGGAGAGATCGCGCGGCGGCGTCCAAGGCTGCCGCGATGGCCGCCGCGACCGAGGCCGCGGTCCTCGTGTCGCCGCGCGAGGCGGTGAAGGAGCTCACCACGCCGGGGAAGAAGAGATCGAATTCGAGATCGCCCGCGTCGCGCGACGCGTCCACCCCCGCGACGACGACGACGACGCGCGTCTCCCCGTCCGCGGTGGACGCCGCGCGCGCGGCCGCGGACGTCATCGCGCTCGGGGCCTCCCCCGAGGCGGCGAACCCCGCTCGCGGGACGTTGCACGCGAACGAGGACCGGATGTGGGCGAGCGCGAAGGCGGCGACGGACGCGGTCGCGGCCGCGGTCGCGTGCGCGGATCCCGCCAAGGTGCACGACGCCGTCGCGCGCGCGGCGGCCGCGCACGCGGCGCACGCCAGCGAGGTCGCGACCGCGGCGGGGAAGTCCGCGGAGGACGCCGCGCTCGCCGCGCGCCTTCGCCCGGGGGACGAGAACGTCGCGATCGAGGCGAACATCGCGGGCGATCTCGCGACGATCGCCGCGGACGCCGCGCGCCGCGCCGCGCTCAAGGCGAACGCCGCGGCGACGCGCGCCGCGGCCGTCGCCGCCGCGGATCGGATCGCGTCCGCGTCCGATGAACTCCGCGCGATGGCGCGCGACATCGAGCTCGAGCGCGAGCGTCTCAGGGAGGCGCTCGAAGACGCGGCGGCAATGGCAGAGGAGGAGGAGGACGAGGAGGAGGAGGACGACGACGATGCCGCCGACGCCGCCGACGCGCGGCCGGCGCCGGCGCCGCGGGGGGAACTGCCGCCGACGCCGACGCCGAACGATCGCCGCCGTTCTTATTCCGACGACGACGACGCGCGCCTCGGGCGGCTCCCCGCGACGCCGCCGCGCGCGACGGCGACGCCCGCGATGGACCGCGCGCTCGCGGCGAGGAAGCGCCGCGCCGCGGGCGGCGTCGGCGGCTCTGGTCTCACGCCGCCGCGGTCGCTCGGGAAGCCTCGACGCGTCCCGATGTCCCCTGAGGACGCGGCAATCTACGACGAGTTCGTCTCGACGCGTCGCCGCCGCGACGTGCGGCGACGCGCGGAGGAAGCGATCGAGCGCGCCGCGGAGGCGGCGGCGCGACGCTCCCCCGCGGCGGCGGCGAACGCGCGGCGGCGGCCGCGGAGCGCGTCCTACGTGCGCGTGGGCGGCGGTTTCTCCAACGACGACGACGACGTCGCGCGGGCGAGCGCCTCCGGGTCGTTCGCGCCCGGGTCGTTCTGGACGCCGGTGAACAGGCACACGCGGATGGACATCAGCGTCTCCGCGGCGGAGAAGGCGCTGCTTCGGAACGCGGGTGCGTTCTATACACTGGTTCCCATACGACCCCGTTCGCGTGGTGAACGTCATTCCTTAAGGAATTTGCCCGGCGTTTCTCTGAGCCCACCCTCGCTTTCAATCCCCGCCCTCGACGCCTTTCAACTCCAACTGACGCCTATGAACTCCAGGACCAAACGGTCGGACGGAACCCGGAGCGTCGTCGAGACGGAGAGACGGAGACGACGCGACGAACGCCGCCGCCGCGGCCGCCGCCGACGCGGCGGACGCGGTGCGATACCCGTGGACGGTGCGACCGACGAAGAAATCTGTCGCGATCGCGGTCGCGTCGCGGCAGAGGCAGCGCGAGCAGGACGCGCGGCGACGCGGCGGCGGCGACGCGGACGCGGAACGCCGACGGGTGGAACCGCCGGCGACTCGCCGCCCCGCGACGGCGACGGCGACGGCGGCGGCGGCGGCGTCGAAGCTCCCCGCCAGCGCGCCGCGCTCCGCGACCGCGTTCGAGATGGAGGCGAAGCGCACGATCGACGCCGCGCGGTCGCTCCTCGCGGACTTGTCGACCGGCTCGCCGGTGAAGGCGCGCCCCGACGGCGGCGACGACGACGACGACGACCTCGAAGCGCGCGCGGATCGCGTCGTCGCGAAAGTGCGCGCGTACGCGTCCGCGGCGAAGGACCCGTCCACGCGAGGGACCGCGGGGCGGACGCGGAGCCCCACGGTGCCGCTTCCCGCGCACGAGAGGTATTCGCACTACAAGATGTACGGGTTCGCGGGGCGCGGGGCGACGACGAGCTGGGCGAAATGACGACTGTAGGTGCCTTTCCGGTTTTTTATATCAGAAGACGTGTTGTTTGTTCTTGGACCTGCTTCCTTGGACCTCGAGAGAAGACGACGACGACGCTCGTCGAGCACGACGCCGCGCACTCTTCCCTCGCGCGACTTCTCCGCGACTCGTCGTCATGCACTCTTCCATCGCGCATCGTCTCCGCGTCGTCCGCGTCGCGTCCCCGCGCCGCGACCGTCGTTCGTATCGCGTCTCCGCGACCGTCGTCCCCAGGGGTTTAGGCGCGGGAGACGACGACGACGCGACCACGACGACGTCCCGACGCGCCGCGTGGATCGCCGGCGCCGCGCTCGGGATCGCGCACGTCCTCTCCCTCCCCGCGTACGCGTGCGACGCGTGCAAAGTCGCGGAGGTCTCGCACGGCGACGACGTTCGCAAGTGGCCGACGTCGACGCGCGTGTACGAGCTCGACACGACGTCGGGGCTGAGTTTCGAGGAGGCGTACCTTAAGGCGCACGGCACCGCCCCCTTTCCCTCCTCCTCCTCCTCCTTCTCCTCCTCCTCGACGGCGACGACGATCGCGCGCCCGAGCGACGCGGACCCGAACCCGTGGGTCGAGACCGTGTCCACGTGGCGCTTCGACGTCCCGAGCGGCGTGTCGCTGCGACGCACGACGATGACGCACACGGAACAGGAAAAGTACGGGCTCGACGCGCTCTACCAAACCGAGGACGGCGGGTCGGTCGGCGTGTCCGTGTGGCCGCTGCCGCCGGAGCGCGCGACGGAGCCGAGCACGGTCGAGGCGGTGAGAGACATCGTCGAGAACATGCCGGTCGTCCCGAACGTGTCGATGTTGCGCGACGCGAAGGCGCTGTTGGATCAGGGCGCGACGGGCGGCGGCGGCGGCGGCGAGGGCGGCAAGATGTTCACGTTCGCGTACGACCTCGGCGGCGGCGGCGACGCGCCTTCGTACGTCGCGGTGAACGCGCTGACGCACGATGGGAAGATGTACGTCGTGCACGCGACGTCGCCGGGGGGTAAGACCGCGGCGAAGGACTTGCGAGCGATCGCCGACAGTTTCCGCGTCGGATGAAAAAAACGTTTCTTTCCGGTAGGACAGGACAGTCGGACAGTCGGACGGTCGGACGGTCGGACGGTCAGACAGGACGATCGAAATCGAAGTAGACGCGAGCGACGCGCGCGTTCGTTCGGTACAAAGTATCGGCGCGAACGAACAGAACGCGATACGGCGACACGATATACTACGACGCCTTCAGCCCGAGCGCGCGCTCGCGGGACACGCTCCACACCTCCGCGAGCGTGTGAAACTCGCCGTCCTCCCCGAACGCGTCCACGCCCGCGTCCTTCATCGCCCGCGCCAAATCGCCGTCGTACCGCGCGCCGACTTTGGCGCCCGCCGCCTCCGCCGCCTCTGTCGTCACCGCCGTCACGACGCACCGCACGCCGCTGGCGTCCAAATCCTCGCGCAACGCGTCGTAGTTTGACCGCGCGTCGTCGCTCCAGACCGGGTACGCGAGCTTCATCACGAGCGCCTTGCCGACCGCGTCCTCGCGCCATTTTCGGATGTGCTCCAAGTGTAAATCCCCGCACGCCAACGCGTCGACGGCGGATCCCAGCTTCCCTTCGATGACGTCCACCGCGAGCTTCAGACGCGCGACGTAGTCGCTCCCCGCGCCGCCGCCGCCGTGCAGCGGCACACCGATCAGCGTGACGTCCAAGTGCTTCGCCTGTCGCTCCACGTCGCGCACGTGCACGTCCTGATGCGCTATCATCCGCGTCCGAGCGTCGAACGTCGTCACGAGCACGACGCCTCTCGGACCGACGTCGCCGAGAATTCCGCCGCCGGGTCCGGGTCTCAGGGTCGTTACATACGAGCGAATGTCGGGGTGGAGTTCAAAGGCGTCAGTTGGAGTTGAAAGGCGTCGATGGCGGGGATTGAAAGCGTGGGGTGGGCGGAGAGAAACGCCGGGCGAAGTCCTTAAGGAACGGCGTTCACCACGCCGACGCGGTCGTATGGGGACCAGTGTATAGAACGCACCTCAACATCGCGCGCAGCGCGAGGAAGCTGTCTTTGCCGCCGCTCCACAGCAGCGCGACGACGCGCTTCGCGTTCCCCGAGCTCGACACGTGCAGCGGCGCGGGAACCTGGATCGTCGCGGCTCTGCGATCCTCCGGGACGCATTCGTGCGCGTACGGGCAGTGCCGGCAGCCGCTGCCGCAACACCGCCCGCGCGCCTTGAATGTCGGGGTGGAGTTCAAAGGCGTCAGGTGGAGTTGAAAGGCGCCGAGGGCGGGGATTGAAAGCGTGGGGTGGGCGGAGAGAGACGACGGCAAAAGTCCTTAAGGATCGGCGTTCACCACGCGAACGGGGTCGTATGGGGACCAGTGTATAGAACGCGCCTTGAGCTTCACCGCGGTCATGACGACGTACCCGGTCGACGGGTCCACGTACGTGTGCTCGCCTCTCGCGCACGCGGACGCGTGCATCTCCGCCCACGCGTCCTCGACGTCCGCGACCGCGGGCGCGGGGCGCTCGCGCGCCGCCGACGCGGGATCGCCGCTTCTCACGGCGTCCGCGCTCGTGTCGACGCGAGCCCACGCGTCTCCCAACCCGCCCTCCGCGTACACCTCCAGCGCCTCCACCGCGCGCGCGATCTCCTCGTCGTCGTCGTGCGCGCACCGCGCCACGATCGCGCATCCGGCCGCGAGCGCGGGCGACGGCCGCGCGAAGAACCGGTTCCCGTCGACGGCGAACGCGCGTCCGTCGCGAACCGCGCGAAGGCTCGCGAACCGCGGCGTCGTCTTCAGCGCGTCTCTCGCGTCCTTCGCGTTGCGAGCGAGGTCGAACCCGCAGCACGCGACGACGACGACGTCCGGGTCCGCGGCCGCGACGTCGTCCCAGCTCCGCTCCGCGCTCTTGGCGCCTTCGAGGGTTTGCAACAGCGGGACGCCGCCGGCGGCGGCGATCATGCCCGGCACCCAGTGCCCGCCGTCAAACACGGGGTCGATCCATTCCAACAGTAAAACGCTCGACTTTCGGCCGTTTCGTGTCGCCGCCTCGACATCCCTGAGGTCGCGCTCGAACCGCTCGCGGACGCGCCGGCCTCGCGACGGAACCCCGCACGCGCGCGCGATGGACTCGATCGACGCCGCCACCTCCGCGAGCGTTCCCGGCGCCGAGGAGGAGACGGCGCACGCGCCGACGCCGCCGGCGGTCGCCGTCGCCGTCGCCGCGACGTCGCCCTCCGTGATCCCGCAGACGCCGCACAAGCTCTGCGTGAGAACCACGGTCGGTTTGAGGTCGGTCATCGCGCCGTCGTCGAGGGTGTACAGCGGCGGGAGCGTCGTTTCCGACGTCGTCGTCGCGCCGCCGTCGTCATTCGCACGCGCGGCGACGTGCGATTTGATCGTCGCGTCGATCTCGCCCTGGGTCATCGCGCGCGGGTCCATGCTCGACGCGGTGACGCGCTTCACGCTCCCGGACGCCATCAGCGCGCGCATGCCGTCGACGTCGGGGCAGACGTCGCACTCGTGCGTCACGCCGACGAGATGCGATCGAAGGCCGAGCGCGCCGACGATCTCGGTCGCGGACGGAAGCAGCGACACGATCCGCAGCGTCGACGGGTCGGGGACCTCGTCGTCACCTTCGGTCGGCGCGTCGTCCGTCGCCGTCATCGCGCGGCGCGGCGTCGCGGGACGACGCGCGACGCGAGGGCCCGCGCGGTGCGAGCGGCGAGGTCGCGCGAGGCGGAGGGGCGCGGGGGACGAGAGCGAGAGTATCGTTCAAGCGTGCATGTGATGAGTGCGACGACGCGACGTTTAGGGTACAGTAGTGGCTGGAGTGCGTCGCGTCGTCAGGGGATGTTATTTTCTTCGTCGTCCTGTCCGCGTCGTCCGGACCTATCGTCCAGTCCGTCGTTCTACTCGACGCGTCGCCTCTTCCGTTCGCTCTCCTCCGCGTCCGCCGCCGCCGCCACCGCCAACGCCGCCGCCGCGTCCGCGTCCATCCCCTCCGGTGGCCGCTCCCACTCCCCAATCGCCTCTCTCGCGCGCCGCGCCGCGCGCTCCTCGCGCGTCTCCCGCGGCGGCGGCGGCGGCGGCGGCGGCTTTTCAACCTTCGCGCCGCCGCCCCACACGACGGCCCGCCGCAACGCGTGCGCGCGCATCAGCACCCCCGCGGCGGCGACGGAGACGTTCGCTCTCGACGCCGCGCGCAGCGCGGGCGCGGGGTTCGACCACGGCAGCCACGCCGGAGAGAGCCAGTTCTTCGCGAGCGACGCCTCGAGGAGCACGGACGACATCGCCAACGTCGCGGGGTCCGTCGCCGACGTCGTCATGCGACGCCACGACGCTCGACGCGTTTGCGATCCCCTCGCGGGGCACATCGCGTCGTCCGGGAGCGCGGCGTCGATCGCGAGGAGCTCGGTCCGCGCGGCCGCGATCGCGGCGCCCGGGCCGGTGGGTTCGGAATTTTCGGCGCCGACGGGGCGCGGCGGTTTCCACGCGCCGTCGTCCGGCGGCGGCGGCGGGACGGCGACGACGGCGTCGATGGGCGGGAGCGGCGGCGCGAGCGGCTTCGTCTTCTTCTTCGTCGCGCCGGGGTGTCCCTCGTCCGCCGTCCGACCCAAGTCGCCGTCCGCGGGCGGCGTCGCGGTCGCGGTCGCGTCGCCCTCGCCCGGATTCGCGGCGTCTTCGTCGCCGGATTCGACCGACGGCGGCTTCGGACCCTCGACGCGCGGCGCGCCGAACCGCCGCTGCAGCTCGCTCCACAGACTCCCTTCTCTCTCGCCTTTTTCGTTCAGCGACGCCGCGAGCGTCGCCACCTTCTCGGCGTCGCCGTAGACGCCCCACATCGATTCGTCCGGAGGTTTGTCCGCGTACTCGCCGCCGCCGCCGCCGCCGCTCGAGGGTCCGGGCGTCTTCGCGTCCGCGTTCGCGTCCGCGACGTCGTCGTCGTCCTCCATCGTGACGTCTACATCACCGCCGTCGTCGAAGGAGTCGTCGACGCCGTCCGTCGATTTCCTCTTCTTCTTCTTCGCCGCCGAGCTCGTCGCGACGCCGCCTAACCCGCCGATGCTGAAGCCCTCGCCGCCGCCCGCGCCGGAGGGCTGCCTCCCGACGAGACCCCAATTGCCGATGAGCCAGTACGCGGCGTCGTCGCGGTCGACGCCGAGGTGATCGAGTCGAAGGTCGTTCGCGCGCAGGTTCCCTTCGAGCTCGTGCCATTTCGCTTGCCACCGCGCGCGGCCTTCGGCTTCGGGGATGACCGGGTTCGCGTCGTTCGCGGCGGCGATGCCGGCCATGCGCACGGCGTAGGACTTCATCGCCGGTCCGGATCCGGGTCCGCCGCCGATTCCCTTGCCGTCCTTATCGCCGCCGACTTTCGCGCCGTCCATCTCGTCGCCCGCGCCGTCGGCGTCGGTCTCTTCGGTGGTCTTTTCGGTATTTTCGGTTTCCCCCTCCGCCGCGGTTTTTTCCGCTTCCCCCGCGGCGGCGGCGGCGGCGGCTTTCGCCGCGTCCGCCTCAGCCTTGATCGCCGCCGCCTCCGCTTCCGCAGCCTCGGCGACGTCTTCCGCCTGCGCGCGCGCTTTCCCCGCGATCTTGTTGGAGACGGCTCTCGGAACGCCGTACTTACGGAACGACGCCCAGTCTCTGACGTGCGACCGCAGCGCCTCTCGCGCTTCGATCGATTTCTTTTCGCCCACCTCGAGGACGCCCCTCACGAGCGGCGAGTCCAGAAGCTGCCACGTCAGCTCGCGTAACACGTCGAGCCGCTCCGACGGCGACAGCGTCGCCCACCCGCCGCCGCCTCTCGTCGTCGTCGCGTCCGCCGCGCGATGGTCGCCCAGCGACGCGGCGAGCGCGCGCAGCCGCCGCGCGTCGGCGGCGCGGCGCCGCGTCGACCCGCCGCCGGGCCCGCTCGTCCCGCCCGCGACGTCGCCGTCGCACGCCGCGCGCAACTGCGTCCCGAGCAAGGTGGCGAGCGAGCCGATCGCGTTGGCGTCCGGGTCCACGGTCTCCTCCTTCGCGCGGACGCACCCGGGGCAGAACCACTCGCCGTCCGGCACGGAGGGCAGCGGCGGGGAGAGGCACGCGCAGTGGTACTCGCCGTCGCAGTCGTCGCAGAGAAGCACGGGACCGGCGGCGATGTCGCCGCCGCACACGGAGCACCCCTCGTCCCACGCGCATCTCGGGAGCGCGCTCGCGTCCGAGCCGAAGAGCGGGTACGTCCCGCTGGGTAAGGTCACGAGGCCGTTCTCGCCTTTTCCCTCCGGCTTGCCCCGTTGCGTCGCTCGTTCGATCTTAGACGTCACGACGGAGGAGACGAGTCGATCCGGCGCCCCCGCGCTCGCGACGACGTCGCCGCACTCGCCCGCGTCCGCGCGACATATCGCGTCGCTGCCGCACCCGGACGCGAGATTCGCCACCGCGTACACCCCCGCTCTCGCGCGCTGATCCAAAATCTCGTACCCCGTCGTCCTCGGGTACTTGGCGCGCGCCGCCATCGCCGCGCCGCCGCCCGCGGCGACGGCGGCGTAAAAAGGCACCGCCGACGCCGCGGCGCCCTCCCTCTTCATCGTCGCCTTCGACAGCGCGGGGTGGCGGTGCTTCTCGCTGTGCGCGAGCGCGCGGACGGACTGCCGGATCGCGTGCGTCGCGGGAGAAGACGCCGCCGTCGCTGCGACATGCGCCGCGCGCCTTCGCCTCTCCCGCTCCCCGCCGCCGCTCGTCTCGTCCCCCCCGCGCGCGTACAGCTCCGTCTCGCACGCCGCCATCGCCTCCGCGTCCGCGCGCGCGCTCAGCGCCGGCTCCGGCTTGGGCAACGACTCCATCGTCGCCGCGAGCGTCGCGGCGGCCGCGGGGGTCATCGCCGCGCCCGTGTCCGGCGGCGTCGGCATCGCCGTCGGCCCCCCCGTGAGCACCCACTTGAGGGTAATTGTCCATACGAAGCGATGTCGGGGTGGAGTTCAAAGGCGTCAGAAGCGGAGTTGAAAGGCGTCGATGGCGGGGATTGAAACCGAGGGGTGGGAGGAGAGAAACCACGGCAAAAGTCCTTAAGGATCGGCGTTCACCACGCCAACGCGGTCGTATGGGGACCAGTGTGTAGAACGCACCTTGCACACCACCTCGCTCGCGTCCGCGGCGTACCTGTTCCAGTGCGCCTCGGGCGGGAGCTCGCACGCCGCCGCCGCGCCTCTGAGGTACCGCCGCAGCGTCTCTTCCCACGCGCCTCCGGGAATCGCGGTCTGCGCGTCCGTGGGAGGGGTCAGCGCGAGCGCGTCCGCGAGCAGCGCCGCCGTCGTCGTCGCCGCGTGCGACGCGAGAAGCGGCGCGAGGAGCGCGCCCACGAGCGCGGCGCCGCACGCTTCGTCCCCGGACACGAGCGCGGCGGCGAGCGCCGCGGGCGTCGGCGGCGCCGCCTCCGCGGGCGCGCGGTCGTCGCCGCCGGATCGCTTGCAAGATCGCTTGGACGACCCGGTCGCGTCGAGCTCTTTCCCGCGCTCGGCGAAGAGGACGTCTTTGAATCGATCGACGAAGGACCACACCTCGAGCAAGTCGCCGACGCGCCGCGGCGGCGACGCGGGATCCGTCCCCGTCCCCGTCCCCGTCCCCGCCGCGAACGTCGCGATCTCACTCGCTAGCGGCGGCGGCGTAGACGGCCCCGCGCCGCCGTCCGCGTCGTCCGGAATGCGCGGCGCGACGCCGTGCAACCACAGCCCCGCCTTCTTTTCCGCTTCCTTCTCCGCGCGCGCGGCGGCGGCGTCCTCCTCTCTCTTCTTCTCGCGTTCCGCCGCCGACCGCTCCTTCGCCGCCGCCCTCGCCGCGGCCTCGATCTCCTTGTCCTTCTCGCGCTGTATCCTCGCCGCCTCGCGCTTCTCCTCCTTCTCCTTCTTCTCGCGCTCTCTCGCCGCCTCGCGCTCCGCCTTTTCGCGTTCGCGCGTCGCCTCCCGCTCGGCGCGTTCGCGCTCCTTCGCCGCCTCTCGCTCTCTGCGCTCGCGTTCGCGCTTCGCGTCGCGTTCCGCCTTGTCCGCGCGCCGCGCCTCCTCCGCGAGCGCGCGCTTGGCGCCGCCCGCGACGCCGCCCGCGACGCGCGATACCATTCGGTCCATCACCTTGCGAACCTCGAGCGCGTCCCTCGCCTCCTTGGACAGCGGCGGCCGCTTCGACGCCGCGCGTTCCGTAGCCTCTTTCTGCAGGCCGCGACGAAACGTGTTCATCGGTCAGTCGAAAGGGGACGCGATCGAATGTCGATAGAAGAAACCGATGAGCGGTGGGTGGGTGATTTTGCATCGAAAAAAGAACGCGCCTGCGCCTCCGCGGCGTGTTTCAGCGCGCGCAGGAGCTCTCTGTTCACGTGCAGCTTCACGCGCTCTCGTCGGCTCTCCTCCTCCGCCCACCCGCCTCGCTGCTCGACGTACTGGTACCCCGGGCACCGCGCCGCGGTGTTCGCGTCTCGCTCGAGCTGTCGCAACACGACGACGTCGTCGAGACAGAAGCGATCGGCGGTGCCGGCGCTGCGTCTCGTCTCCCCGGCGTTGGACGCGATGACCATCTTCGCCCACGCCTTGAGCGGCGTCGACGCCTCGACGACGAGCGGCGGCGGCGTTGAAAGCGGCGGCGCGGGCGTGGGCTCGCCCGCGTCGGCGGTGGACGGTTTAGAGGACGGGGGTTTCACGACGCGCGTGACGCGGAACTTCGGCGCGTCCCTCGGTTTTTTCTTTCCGCCGCCAGCTGTACCGCCGCCAGCTGTACCGCCGCCCTCTTCCGCGTCCGGGTCCACGACCTCGGAGATGAACGTCGCGCTGCCGTCCGCGTTGTTCCACTCCGTCTTGTACCCGACCGGGTACACGTGCGTCGCGTCGTGGTACCCGCGCCTGGCGTCCACGACGCCCAGGTCCACGACGACGACGCCCTCCGCGGCGGCGAACGGGCATCGCGTCTCCTTCCTCGTCGCCGCGCTCGCGGCCGCGTCCGCGCGCGACATCACGTCCGGGATCGTCTCCGGCGTCTCCGGCGGCGTCGGCGCGAACGCGGGGACGCGGTCGCGGTCGCCGCCCTTCCCGCCGCGCGCGGGCTGCGACTTGGACGCGTGCTTCGGCGCGGCGATCGGACGAAGGCCGAGGTGTCGGACCGCCTCCGCGCGCGATCGGAACCGCACGCCCTCGGGGTTGAAGTAATACACGTCGTACGTCCCCTCGGACGCGCCGTTGAGGCGCATCTTCATGTCCACGCGCCACCCGTCCTCGAGCGGTTCGCCGCCGCACAGGACGACGTAGTCGTCCAGCGCGTCGAGGAGCGATCGCTCCGGGTCGTCCGCGCCTCGATCCGCGCGTATCGCGCGCGCGTGCTGCTCTTTCGTCATCTTCGGCGGCGGCGCGAAGTCGGGGTCGGGGGACGACATCGCGTGATCGCCGCGCCGCGGAGGGGTCGACTCTCGGGGGGTCGCGCGGGTCGCCGTCGGGGGGCCCCTCCCGTGTGATCGTCCGACGACTTTTGAAACGATCGAGAAGCGCGCGCGACGAGCTGCGTTTATTCGTTCAGTTAGACTCGTCGTCGTCGCGGGCCCTCGTCACATCGCGGCGCGCGCCTCCGCCAGGATGTTCGCGAAGGCCAAGGCAGCGGCCGCGGCCGCCGCGGAGGCCGCGTCCAGAAACGCGAAAGCCGCCGCGGACAAGGCGAAGTCGATGCGGAGCTCCGGCGGCGCCGGCGCGACGCCGGCGAAGGGCGAGAACAAGTTCCTATCTCCCGTGAACAAGAAGGCGTCGCAGCCGCAGCAGCAGCAGCAGCCGCGACCGCCGGAGGACGGATCGGAAGCGCCGCCGCCGGACGGCCCGCCGCCGGCGTACTCCGACGCCGTCCCCGGCGTCATCGACATCGGGGACTTGCTCTCCGGCGGCGAGCCCACGAGCGCGCCGCTGTCGCCGTTCGACGAGTCCAGACTCGCGAGGGCGCGCCCGCCATCGCCATCGCGCGACGACGCGCCGCGCGCGGCCGCGAGCGACGCGACGCCGGGGTCCCCCGACGACGGGATGACCGAGATCGACCTGTCCACCGCGGATCCGGATCCGGATCCGGCGCCGGAGCCGCTGCCGCTGACGCCGCCCGCGCCCGCGCCCGCGGCGGCGCCGGCGACGCCGCCTCCCGCGCCGTCTCCTCCTCCTCCTCCTCCTCCTCCGCAGACGGCGTCGGCGTCGTCCGCCCCCCCGGCGCCGTCGCCGGCGTCGTCAAAACAAGACGACGCGCTGCGCCTCGCGCTCGCGCGGCTGCAAGAGGAGGCCGCGCGACTGCGCGCGGAGAAGGACGACGCGGAGGCGGCGACGCGCGCGGCGAAGGACGACGCGGACGCCGCGACGCGCGAGAAGGAGAGCGTGCGAGCGATGGCGTCGGAGCAGTGGGTCGCGATGAAGAGACAGAGCGCCGCCGCGGAGGAGGAACGCGCCGTGAACGAGAAGCGACAGAGCGCGCTTGAGCTCGCGGTGGGCGCGGAGAAGGTGGCGCGAGTGTCCGCGGAGAAGAACGCCGCGGAGGCGACCGAGCGCGCGGAGAAGGCGGAGCGCGCGCGCGTCGAGGCGGAGGCGACGGCGGCGGCGACGGCGGCGGAGGCGAAGGCCTCCGCGGCGGCGGAGAACGAGACCGCGTCGCTGCGCGCGCGCGTCGCGGAGCTCGAGCTGTCTCTCGCGGCCGCGGAGGAGTCCGTCGCGGTCGCGGCGCCGCCGCCGCCTCCGCTTCTCGACGTCTCGAGCCCGGCGGACGACGGGAAGGCGGCGGCGGCGGAGCTCGCGTCGCGGATTCAGACGCTCGAGGCGGAGCTCTCCGCGGCGACGGCGCGCGCCGACGCGGACGCGAAGGCGGCCGCGAAGGCGTCGGAGGAGCTCGCGAAGGCGAACGGCGAGATCGCGAAGCTCGCGGCCGCGATGGAGACGAGAGAGAAGACGCATCAGGCGGCGGCGGCGACCGCGGCGGCGGCGGCGACGGCGGCGGCGACGACCGCGAGCGCGTTGAAGAAAGAGCTGGGCGACGCGAAAGCCGCCGCCGTCGCCGCGGACGAGCGCGCGACGAAAGCGGAGAAGACCGCGAGCGCGGCGGCGGCGAAGGACGCGAAAGCCGCGCTCGAGCTCGGCGCGAAGAAGACCGCCGAGCTGAGCGCGAAGACGGCGGAACTCGAGGCGCGGCTGTCGGAGACGCGCGACGCTTTGAAAACCGCAGAGGCGTCCGTCGCCGCGGCGGAGGAGAAGGCGTCCAACGCGCAGGCGGAGTTAAACGCCATGGAAGCGAGCGTTTCTTCTTCCGGGGAAGAACGCGACGTGAAGGTCGCGGAGACGCAGCGGGCGCTGGAGGCGGCGCAGGTGGCGCTCGCGGAGAAGACGAAAGAGGCGGCGGCGGCGGAGGACGCGCGCGCCGAGGCGGCCGCGGAGACGGCGGCGCGCGCGGAGGAGATTCGAAAGCTCCGCGCCGCGGCGGACGCCGACGCGGCGACGCGCGCGAAGGCGACGGAGACCGCGGGCGCGGACATCGCGGAGAAGATCAAGGCGCTGGAGAGCGCCTTGGGCGCGGAACGGCACAAGGTGATCGAGCTCGGGATGGAGATCGAAGCCGCGCGCGCGGCGGCGGCGACGGAGGCGACGGAGGCGGAGGACCTTCGGGGAAAACTCGCCGCCGCCGCCGCCGCCGCCGCGGACGCGACCGCCGCGCTCGACGCGTCGAAGAAGGCGCAGGAGGCGTCCAGCGGCGACCTCGCGACGAAGCTCGAGCGCGCGGAGGCGGCGGCGGCGGCGTCGGACGCGGCGAAGAAGGCGTCGAACGACGAGGTCGAGACGCTCCGCGAGGAGATCAAATCCGTCGAGGCCGCGGCGACCTCCGCGCGCGCCGCCGCCGCGGAGGAACTCGCCGCGGCGAAATCCGAGCTCAAGTCGTCCGCGGCGACGCTCGAGGCGAAGGCGAACGAGCTCGCCGCCGCGGAGGCGAAGGCGAAGGCGGCGGCGAAGGACGCGGAGGACGCGAGGGCGGCGGCGGCGGCGGCGGCGGGCGAGGCGGGGGCGAACGCGGAGGCGTCGACCGCGGCGCTCGAGGCGGCGGAGCGACGCGCGTCCGAAGCGGAGCGACGCGCGGCGGCGGCGGAGCAGAGCGCGTCCGACGCGGCGAAGAGAGTGAAGGAGGCGACCGCCGAGGCGGACGCCGCGAGAGCCGCGTCGGCGTCGGCGAAGGCGACGTCCGGGGAGCTCGACGCGAAGATCGCCGAGCTGACCGCGATGCTGACGACGGCGGAGCAGACCGCGTCGGCGTCGGAGAAGAAGGCGGCCGAGCTCGCGTCGGCGGCCGAGGACGCGGAGACGAGAGCGGCCGCCGCGGAGGCGGAGATCGCCGAGTCGAAAGCCGCCGTCGACGACGCGACCGGGGAGCTCTCCGGCGAGCTCGCGGTGCTGAAGACCGCGCTGAAGACCGCGGAGGACGCCGCCGCCGCGGCCGCGACAGAGACCGAGGCTGCGAAAGCGGCCGCGAAATCGGCGGGCGAAGACGCGGAGAAGGCGCGCGCGGAGACGGACGCGGCGAAGAAGGCTGCGGCGGCGGAAGCCGGCGCGGCGAAGAAGGCGAAGGAGGAGACGCGCGCCGCAGCGAAGGACGTCCAAGCCGCGAAGGCGTCGCACGCGGCGCGCGCGACCGAGCTGGAGACGAAAGTCGAGGGCCTCGAGCGCGCGCTGAGAGACGCGGAGGAGAAGGCGGCGAAGGAGAAGCGCGAGGCGGACGCGCGAAATGCGGCGAGCGAGGCGTCCGTCGCGAAGGCGGCGGCGGACGCCGCCGCCGCCATCGCCGCCGCGGAGGCGCGCGCGTCCGACGCGGAGCGCTCCGTCGCCGACGCGGCGTCTTCGGAAAAGTCCGAAAACGCCGAGATGCTCGCGAAAGTTCGAAAGTTCAAGAGCGACCTCGACGCGGCGAAGGAGATACTCTTCATGAAGGAGGAAGAGCTCGCCGCCGCCGCGGAGGTGCGTCAAGAGCGCGACGTGTTGGCGCAGATGGTGAGGACGCTGCAGGAGCGCGAACGCGAGAGGCAGACGGCGCCCGCGCCGGGGGCGCAGCTCAAGGCGCAGTTCCAGAACTTGTTCCAGCGGAAGCCCCCGCCGCCGGGGAGTCCGCGCAAGTGAGCGACCTTCGCGCCGTACAGTAGGGCTGCAGCGTACACGTATCGTCCGAGCGAGAGAGAGAGACGGGGGTGTTGATCTCGTCGATCGCGTCAGATTACACGTGTACACGAAAACGACCGCCCCGCCGTTTGTCGTCAGTCGCCGCCCGCTCCGCTCACGGCTGCGCGACGCCAAACTTCTCCAGGTGATCCTTCAGCTTCGGGAGGTTAATCGCGCCCTCGCGTTTGCTCCCTTCCACCGCCTTCCCGTCCTTGAACAGCATCACCGTGGGCAGCCCGTACACGCCGAACTCCTCCACGAGATCCGGGTTGGGGTCCACCTCTATCTTCACGATCTTGAGCTTCGCCGCATCGTACTCCGCCTCCGCTTTCTCGACCACCTTGCTGATGAGCTTGCACGGGCCGCACCACGTCGCCCAGAAGTCGACGAGCACGGGGACGTCGGACTGTGGGGGGGATGGGGAGGATGGGGGGGGAGGGAGAGGTCGGTTTCGCGATCGATCGCGGATGGCGATTTATTTCGTCGACCGCGAGTGCCGCCGCGGAGACGGGGACGGGACGGGACGTCGGGGCGCGATAGTCCGTCCGTCTCGCGTCGCGTCGTCGCGCACCTCGAGGACTTCCGCCTTGAACTCCGCGCCGGCGACTTCCTTCACCGCGCGCGTCGTGAGGTTGACGCGCTTGGACGCGCGCTTGGACGCGCGCGCGGACGCGCGCGCGACGCGCGCGGACCCGCGGATCGCGCGCTTGGATCCGAGCGCGACGCCGACGCGCGCGGAGGACGCGCAGGAGAGGCTCGACATCGCGCGAGGTGCGACGGACGGACGGGGGGGGGGGTCGGAGGCGACGAAACGACGGAGCGTGCGGGGTGCGGCGTCGGTCTCGGCGCGTCGCGGTGTGCCGCGCGCGTCGTCGACGGCGATAAATCAGCACGTTGTTCTGCACCGAACCCACGTGGCAGTTCCAGCAAATCCGATCCGCGTGCCGATGAGATGACACACTCATCAGCCAGAAACGCGCGCATAGGCCCTACGAGTGTATCGATGCGAAACCCACAACCGACCGCTCGCACGGCACGTCGACGCGACGCTCGGTCGGGCTTTTACCGAGAGAACCAACAACACCGCGTCGATCGACGCGCGCGCGCGCGCGCGGCGTCCATGTCGCTCCCGGAGGGCGTGTCCGTGGACACCTCGCGCGGGTGTGCGCGCGTCCTCGCTCGCTTCCTCCTCCCTCGCCGCGCGCGCCTCCGCGTCCAGTCCGCGCGCTGACGACGCCGTCCGTTCCCCCGTCTTCCTCTTCCGTCTCCGTCGTCGTCGCAGCGTCCCCGTGCTGCACATCGCGTTCGACGGCGACGACGCGCGTCGTCGCGCCGCGGACGCGCCCGGCCCGACCGCGCGGCTGCGGCACCCGACCACGGGCGCGGACGTCCACGTCATCGGCACCGCGCACGTCAGCGGCGCGTCCGCGGACCACGTCCGCGCGGCGATACTCGCGGAGCGCCCGGACACGGTCGTCATCGAGCTCTGCCCGGGGCGGCTCGCGTCGCTCGTCGAGCGCGCGCTGTCGACGCGCTCGCGAACCGCGCACCACAAGGTGGGGACGTTCGGAGACGCGCTGCGCGTCGTCGTCAGCGGCGGGTTCGTACCCACGGCGCTGAGCGTCGCGTACGCGTGCGTCGGCGCGGTCATGGGGGGCGTCCCGGGCGCGGAGTTTTTGGCTGCGGTGGACGCGGCGAAGGACGTCGGCGCTCAGGTCGTCCTCGGCGACGTCGACGAGCGGCTGATCTTCGCGCGCATCTTGAGCCGGATGACGTACGGCGACGACGCGTGGAAGCGGTGGAAGCTCGACAGGGAGGCGGCGGCGGCGGCGGCGTCGTCGTCGTCGAGCGGCGGCGGCGGGAAGGAGGAGGAGGACGCGGAGCGACGCCGCGTCGACGCCGCGACGGCGGCGGTTCTGGACGACGACGCGGCGGTGCTCGTGAAGGGCAAACGGACGGAGGTGCCGAGGCGATGGCGCGAGGGCGTCGTGCGCGCGATCGTCGCGGCGAAGTGCGAGAACCCCGGCGACGTCGAACGCGCGTTGTACGGCGTCCTCGACCCGAGCGGAGAGGTGGACCCCGCCGACGTGGCGACGTTGAGGAAGTGCGGGACGCGCGCGATGGACTTTGTCATGGCGGAGATCGCCACCTCCGGCGACCTGACGAAGCTGATGAAGGGCGACGCGGCGAAGAAGGGCGAGCAGAAGTGGGCGTGGGCGACGATGGAGACGCTGTCGACGGACCGCGACCTGGTCTTGGCGCACTCGCTGCAGCGGTCGCGACGCGCGAAGAGAATCGTCGGCGTCGTCGGCGCCGCGCACGTCCGAGGGATCGAGCGCCTGTGGGAGGACGTCCCGACCGCGGCGTCGCAGCGCGCGTACGACGGCGCGCTGTCGCCGACGCCGTTTGGGCGCGACGCGCGCGGCGGGAGCGCGTGGGACAGGACCCGCGAGATGATTTTTTCGAGGGAGTTTGCGTACATTTGCGGCGCGGCGGTTTCGCTCGGCGTCGCGCGCGGCGCGTATTCGGTGGTCGAGAACGCCAGGGCGAACGTCCGGCGCCTGCGCGCGAGCGGAATGTCCGACGAGGAGATCATGAGGTCGCCCAAAACCAAACTGTTGGAGGCGCCCCCGCGCGCGGCGGCGTCCGTGGGACGGGCGCTGCGGTCCGCGGCGAGGACGACGGCGATCGTCGTCGCCGTCCCCGCCGTCGTCGCCGCCGCCGCCGCGTGCGTCGGCGCGAGCGCGCTCGTCTCTCTCGGGAACCTCGCGACGCGGCTCGAGGCCGCGGCGTCGAGAGCGGAGGAGGCCGGTATCGTCGCGCGACGGCGGCCGGAGCTCAGGTCGAAGAGGTGGGGGAACGAGGTGGACGAGCGCGGGAACCGTCTGGTGCAAGTCGAGGCGATCAACGCGGTGAGCAAATACGACAAGGGGGTCGACGGCGGCGGACGCGGCGGCCGCGGACGCGGCGGCGAGATGTTGTATCGATAGGAGATGTTGTCTGTCTCGGATTAGTTCTTCGAACACTCTCTTCTTCTCACGTCGTTCGTTCTGGCTGGTCTTGCAAAATAAATGGAATGGAATGGAACCCCGCCCTTCGTCGCGTTCTTTCTCGCGTCTTCAGCGGTTGACGTCCGACAGCGGCGAGTCCGAGTACCGGCCTCGGCCTCGGCGCTTCGGGGACGCGCCCCCCTTCAGCGGCGACGCCGTCGCCGTCGCGTCCTCGACCGCGGCGTCCAGCGTCGCGTGCACCTCCCTAGAAATATCCGTCGACGTCGTGGACACCGCGGACGCGCGCGCCGCCGCGGGGACCGCCCCGGACGAAACCGTCGACGACCCCGCCTTGGACGCCGCCGCCGCTTGGGCTTTCACCGCGGCGGCGTACTCCGGCGTGGGTAGCTCCGGGATCGTCTCCGGAAAGAACGACACGTCCGCGGTGGCGTCCCTCGCGCGAAAGTCGAGCGCGCGCGGCGCCGCGCGCGCGCTGGCGCTGGCGCTCGCGTCGGACTCGCCGCCGCCGCTGCCGAAACCCGACCCGCCGCTGTCGCCGCGTCGATGCCCGGGCTTCGCGCCCGCCGCGGCGGTGGACCAGTCCCCGCGCGACGGCGTCGTCCCCGCGGCGTACGAGCACGTCACCTGCGCGCCGCGAGGGTTCACGCCGCCCGGCGTGCGCGCGCGGGACGGCCCGGCGCGCGCGCAGGACGGCCCGGCGCGCGCGCGGGACGGCGAGAACAGCCCGCCCACGGACGCCGTCACACCCGACGGACCGCGCGAGACGAACTCTTTGTTCTGGACGTCCCAGGACACCGTGTTCGTCGGCATCCCCGCGTGTTGGGGCTCGACGCCGCGCGAGGCGTCGTCGTCGCCGCCGCCGCCGTGAACGCCGCCGTCCTTGTCCGGCCGCGGACCTTTCATCGCGGTCCACCACGGCCCGGACGCCTTCGTCGGCTTGACCCCCAGCGGCGGTCCCTCCGGGAGGAACGGGTTCCACAGCGTCGCCGCGGACATCCACCCGACGACGGAGACGAGCCACGCGAAGTTGATGAGCACGGTGACGGTGTAGTAATCGACGTAGTGCTCCATCGTGGACATGTACAGCCCGACGATCATCATCATGAGCATCGCCTCGAAGACTGTCGGGGTGGAGTTGAAAGGCCTCAGTTGGAGTTGAAAGGCGTCGAGGGCGGGGATTGAAACCGAGGGGTGGGCGGAGAGAGACGCCGGCAAAAGTCCTTAAGGATCGGCGTTCACCACGCCAACGCGGTCGTATGGGAACCAGTGTGAGATGGGACGCACCTTGCACAGCGACCACCGCGGGGAGCGGGAAGATGGCATCCGCGCGGTCCAAGGAGAGGAACGACTTTCGCGGGCACGATTTCGATCGCCACCAGAAGCGTCCGTTCTTGTCCGTCGCGTTCGCGATGAAGCACGACGGCGGCCAGATCATCGTCGCGCACAGGAGCTTCATGTCGTCGAGCACGGGCAGGCGGAACGTCCGCTTGCCGATCTTGACGTCCCGCCTCGCGCAGATCTTCTCCCAGATTTTACGATCCGGGACGCCGCCCTTTACGATCTTCGGCCACCACTTGAGCGCGGTCAGCGTGAGTGTCGCGTGCATGAAAAAGATCATGAAGATCCACCCGCCGGTCGCAGCCGCCATGAGCGCGATCGTCGTTATACGCGCGCTGAGCTCCAGGAACCGGAACGTCGTCTTCGCCGCCATCTCGGAGAGGTGCGCCTTGTGCGCGGCCCAATACGTCTTCCACGTCATGTTCGGCGGCTTCTCGTGCAGGTCCAACGTCACGAAGCACAGCGTCGCGGACGTGATCGCGCCGACGACGGCGAAGAAGAGCCACGCGTCGAAGCCGTCGCGTCCGGGACACTCCAGTCTCGGCCCGCTGCACGCCATGCCGACGTACGCCTGAAGCGTCGCGACGGGGAGGAGGAGGAACACGGTGTCCACGAGTTGCATCCCGCGGAGGTCCATCTCCGCTTTGCGTTGACGGAGGTCGTTCGTTCGAAGCGCGCGCCACGCCGCGAACGCGGTCCCGAGCTGCAGCATGCTGAACACCGCGCCGGCGTTTCTCACGATGAATTTGAAGTCCACTTTCGTGAACCCGAACACTTTCGGGACGCCTTTTTGTTTCGACGCCTCGATCTCCGCCTTGGACGGCATCGGGTAGTGCAGGAGCCAGTACGCGCACGTGCACGACCCGGAGAGAAGAAAAAAGATGAACACCATGCTGAACCAGACCCAGGACTTCCCCGCGGCGAACCGGTTCAGCTCGCGTATGAGCTGCGTCTTGGCGTAAAAGTCGAGCACGATGCCCGCGAAGAGCATGTACCGCTGCATCGGTTGCATCTCGGGCCCGAGCGCGTCGATGCGTTCGAGGACGGATTTCGAAATCGGCAGCGGGGACATCATCGCCTTCTGCGCGGTCCCCTCGCGCGCGTCCGCGCCGCCTTTCCCGCCGAAGCTGACGTTCTTGTTCGTCCCCGGGGTCTTGCGCTCGTACGGCACCGTCCCGGGGGAGCCGACGGAGTTGAACAGCGCGCCGTGGTACTTTGGGGTTTGTTTCGCCGTCACCGCGACGGCGTACGCGGCGCCCCCCGCGGCCGCAGCCTCCGGCGCCCTCCCCCCCGCGCCGCTCGCGTCGTCGCCGTTCTCCACGTTCGGCGAGCGCGATGACTCTCGAAGGCCGACGCGGACGTCTCTCGGGGAGGCCGACGGCGGGCTCGGGCTCGCGTTGAACGCCGCCGCCTCGACAGCGCCGGCGTCGTACTCGGGCGAGCCGTTCTCTTTGTCGTCGTCGTCGCCGCCGCCGCCAAACCCGGACGACGCGTTCGACTTTCGCACGACGATCGCGGGCGAGGCGTCGAATTCCGGCGGCGACATCGCCCGCGCGCCGTCCGTCGCGACGCTCAGAGGGCTCATGTCCGTGAGCGGGGACATCCGTTGCACCATCGCGAGCTCTTCCTCCAGGCGCTCGCGGAGCTCCTCCTCCTCCGCGTACTGTTCCGGGGTGACGCCGCCGCGCTCGATGACGTCGAGGGACATCCGCGGCGTGCCGTTCGCGGTCGGCGCGACGTCGTCCGCGGTCGCGTTCGAGGCGTCGTCGTCGTCGTC